TGCACAGGAAAAACCCTCTTGCACAATGCCCCTATTCCTGAAAATAATCAGGCAGTGTAGACAGCTCCTTCTGGCGCAAGAGCCTCTTCCGCAAAAATGGCGGCTCATTAGTTATGCAAATGAGGCTCAGCAATATTCCACACTTAGCCTCATTTGCATATTTCTGGCGCAACAACCCGCCAATGTAGACATAGCCTGGGAATTTAGGCACTAGCACAAACTCCTAATGAAAACACAATTTTCACTGATGCTTTGTAATTTGCACTAGTCCCAACACTTTTCCTCACATGGCAGCACATTGGTCTATTTTGCACCAATCACTTACCACCTCCCTCCCCAAGGCTTGCAGAGAGCTGGTTCTGGACACACATCATCAAAAACGGTGTGAATTCCACTAGCCTTTTTGCAACAGTGTCCAGCTGATGGTTCATCAGGTCTTTTTCAGAGCACTGTGTCCAGGATAAAGCCCCTGCCTTATAAAACCTATAAGCTGCTATTCCTAGGTCTATGTCTTACATGGTGTTCTTATTGATTTGATTCTTTATCTTGCTTGATCTGCGAATGATATCAGCAGATCATATGCAGATAGCTAATACAATGCCAATTTTTTTTAATGTCTCCAGAGGTGATCCTGGCAATTACAGGCCAGTACACCTAACTCCAACAACTTGCAAACTGATTGAAGCTAGAGTATCAAACAGAATGACCAGACACATTGATCAATATGATTTGTTGGGGAAGAATCAACCTGGTTTTTGTAAAGGGAAATCATTCCTCGCCAATCTACAAGAATTCTTTGAGGGCGTCAGCAAGAATGTGCACATGGGAGGATTCACTGGTTATAGTGTAATTAGATTTTCAGAAAGCCTTTGACAAGGTCCCTCATCTAAGCAAAATAGGATGGCCCTCTCATGGATCAGTGACTAGATAAAAGGTCAGAAATTAAGGATAGGAATAAATGGTTGTTTTCAGACTGGAGGGAGGTAAGTAGTGGTGTCAACCACACACCTGTACCAGGACAAGTTCTGTTTAACATAATCATAAGTGATCTAGAGAAGGGGGTAAACAGTGAGGTGGCAAAATTGCCAGGTGATACAACGAAGGGGGTAAACAGTGAGGTGGCAACATTGCCAGGTGACACAAAACTACTCATGGTAGTTAGCTCCAAAGCAGGCTATGAAATGTGACCAGACAACAAAATGGCAGATGAAATTCAAAGTAAACACATCATGGAAAATATAATCCCAGCTCGTCATATAAACTGCTGGGGGTCTAAATTAGCAGTTCCCACCCAGAAGAGAAATCTTGGAGTCATTGTGGATAGTTCTCTGAAAACACCACTCAGTGGCCAGTGGCTGCCAACAAGGCTAACAGAATGTTGGGCATCGATAAGAAAGGGGTAGTTAATAAGACAAAAAATATCATATTGCCTCTATATAAATCCAGATGGATGTGGTTATACCATCTGAAAAAGGACATATTGGAATTGGAAAAGGTTCTAAAAAGAACAACAAAAATTATTAAGGGTTTGGAAAAACTTCCATATGAGGAGAGGTTAATAAGGCTGGGACTTTGCAGCTTGGAAAAGGTCTGACTAAGGGATGATATGACATAGATCTATCAAATCTCTCATTTCCAACACCACCTAATGGACCCTGGATTCAAAGCAATTAGTGCCTTCACCTAGTGGCCAGATGTACAAAGCGCTAGCAACCCTTAACTGCGCTAGCAACCCTTAACTGCAACCCTTTAGAACCTTTCAGGCCCTTGTCATGTGGCTCCTGGAACAGCCTTAACAGATGATCACAGACCTCTACGAGGCAACCTCACTGGTCATTGGCAGACAGCCTGTGTTCCAACTGACACACGTGTTTCCCTGGTTGAGATCTAGACCTATTGTTTAATATGCTGGTATTTGAGCAGACGAACATCACCAGTTAACGGCCCAGGGTTCTCAGCCCTGTCAGAACTTCAGTTCAGCCTGGCTCTGCAGAGGGAACAGAAAAGACGGCGCTCAAACCCCACATGCAAAATGGAGTTTGCTGCTTGCTGAAGATATGCCCGGAGGGAGAGTCCACAACCTTACGCTGATCCACAGCAGATGCAGATTTCCCACACAGTCACACCTTGACAATCGGCAGAGTTGCTTGTTGGGGTGTGCAGTATTAGCTAGTGGCTAGGGCATGACAGTTGGAGAGATGGATTCTAATCACAGTTCTGCTACTGACTGCAAGACCTTAGGCAAGTCACTTCCCCTCTTCTCCTCCCCCCATCCCTCGTCTGGCTTGTCAACTGCATGTGGGATTATGCTAATGAGCTGTCATTCTTCAATCATTTAAACTCCAGTGTATGGCACCATCATTTAAGCTAGAACATATAGGAAAAGCTGCCAGTTAGTTGGCGGATACAAAATGAGTAACATGACATAGAGATACCCAGCAAATATTAATCTCCCACTAAAACTTTCTGTGCACAGATTGGCTGCAGTCTGTGTCTTTCCTTCTGCTACTTGAAAAGACCATTTAAATTAACCTTGGACTTTAATGTAAAACTATGTCTATTGGGCTTAGTTTGTACATAAACTATCCCTAGTTGCATAACAAGCAAAGAAGCCAGCTAGGTGGAAAGCTGCTATGTTCAGTAACTGACAGATCAGTTTTCCTGGTCACTACAAGGCTCTGGGTTTTGCATGTATTTTTCTGGATGCTTTCAAAATATGAAATCTTGCAATTAGAGGTATATTTGTGGTCCTTATGGGGACAAAAAGCTGTAAATCGGCATCTTTTGTGTCAGATCCTCAGCTGGATTTTTGACCCTTTATATCTGTGAGGATGTAGAAATACTCATGCTAAAAACCTCACCATTTATATTGAAACAAGACTAGGGCACGGAGAGCCCCTAAATATTTCATTGCTCTTAGCGCGATGGGCCCATTCAACCCTATTGCTAACCTATGCCCAGTTTGGCTCCAGACGTTTGTAGAATTAATGCAAGCAGTGAAAGAAGTGGCCGATTTGGTAAAATACACGCACTGTGGAATGTGACTGATTTGCTTCCATAAGCTAACAGAGCAGGGGTTTCTAGAGGGCAATGTCCAAGACTGATTTTGCAGTGTAAGTAATCTTACCAAGGTCATCCCTGTTCAGCCACAAGTCAATCAGGCTCAATAGTGTCTATGTGCATAGCTGGCAAAATCAATTCCCTCCCCCCGAATCAGGAAATCTAAACAAAGAATCAGACACTCTTCTGGCATTAATACAGATGAATCAAGTGTCTCGGTGCCTCAGTTTACCCATCAGCAAAACTGACAAACCACAGATCTGAAATCTGATCAGGGTCCACAATGCACCAATGGACCTTATTTTTAAAGTGAGACAAAACCCAAACACTTGTTTCAAGCACCCCCAAAACTCCAAAATGTATTAAGATTCACCATGAGTGCAAGGATTAATGAATGTTATGTTAGTTTTACAGCTACACGGATGAGTGCCAAGGGTTTGAACTTGGGTTTAAGCCTAAACCTCCTTCCAGCGATACACAAATCATGCTAACGCAGAGCTCAGAGTCAGGGTATGAACACGCCACGAGGGGGAAGAGCTGGAATGCTAGTGAAATGGGACTCAGGTTTCAGGCCCTATTGCATTGCAATGTAGACACACTGCTGGAGTCATGCTCTGGGAGTTCCTCAGAAGTATCACATTGGACAAGTTTCTTTATCCTCTGCTCAATCAAGTTTGGTGGAAGGGCAAGCTTTCCCACAATGCACCATGAACAAAAGGCTAGCATGACTGCATCTTGGGCAGACACCAGGGCTATGTCTAGACTGGCCAGTTTTTCTGGAAAATCAGCCGCTTTTCCGGAAAAACTTGCCAGCTGTCTACACTGGCCGCTTGAATTTCCGCAAAAGCACTGACTTCCTACTGTAAGAAATCAGTGCTTCTTACAGAAATACTATTCTGCTCCAGTTCGGGCAAAAGTCCCTTTTGCGCAAAAGGGCCAGTGTAGATAGTTGAGATTTGTTTTGCGCAAAAAAGCCCCGATCGCGAAAATGGTGATCGGGCCTTTTTTGCGCAAAAGCGCGTCTAAGATTGGCCACGGACGCTTTTCCGCAAAAAGTGCTTTTGCGGAAAAACGTCCGTGCCAATCTAGACACTCTTTTCCGAAAATGCTTTTAACGGAAAACATTTCCGTTAAAAGCATTTCCGGAAAATCATGCCAATCTAGACGTAGCCCAGGAGATCTGGGATATGGGTGGCTGGACTGAGGCTGAAAAACTCAGTGTTAAAAAACCCAGGAGCCACTATCTCGACTTCTAACCTAGAACTTACCTTGCAGTGTCGACATACACGTTACATTCTTTGAAGATGTTAGGTTAAGGCAGGGGCACTCAAACTTCTGAAAACAAAACTTTCTACATAATCCCAGGAGGGGTTCACTAAACACAGTTTGAGAACCGCTGGTGTAGGCGATGGCTTGTGATGCTCTGGTTGAACTAACGTTCTACCTAACAGCATAAATGCTTGTCCCACAATGCTGTGATGGCCATTAAAACATAAGCCATCTGTTACCGTCATTAGCACTTATGCACCTACCATGAGAAATGCAGACGATGAGAAGGAAAAGTTCTGCTGCAAATTTACACAAATTCACAGCGTCTCCATCTGTTGTAGCCCAAACTGATTCTCATGAAGGAATTTAACGCAAGGGTTGGCAATCACCGGGGTGCCGACAGCCGTGCTGGGCTGCTAGGCAAGATGCAGAGCATCAGGCCGAAGGAGTGGGGTCGCACCATCCCCTCCCCTAGGAAGCCCTCAGAGGTGCCCAGAGTGTGCCGTGCAGTGCTCCAGTGGTGATTTAAAGGGCCGGGGCTCCAGCCGCTGCTGCTCCTTTTGAATTGCTGGATCTCTGAGAAATACTCCCTAGGAAATTCGCTCCTTTGCCTCCCCCAGTTGGCAGGCTTTGGTAACAACATGGCAATGTGATGGACTGCCATTGGTCAGCGTGAGATGGGGAAAGAGAACTGCAGTGTTATGCAGGTACTTTGTGAGAGCACCAAGTGCCAATTAGCCACCGTGAATTGCTTTTTCCAGCTACCGGACCAAAAGAAAACATCCTGGGTGCATCCAAGCTCCAAACTACAGCATCTCATCAACGAAATCGCTGTCCCGCAGCATCATCTCCAGGCTGGACCAATCACGACAGCCATGTATGGGCGGGCTTCTGGAAAGACCATCACAATCCCGCAGTGTCCGGATAACCTGCCCGCGGGGGAATATTCTTCTTAGGTTTCCTTGGGATGCCGCAAGACACCTGAAGTAGGAGGAAAGGAGCAATGAGCTCCCATTGAAGTGGGGTCTTCTGCCAAGCCAACCCTGGCCAATCGCTGCTGAGACCTTCCCAGCTCTCTCCCTGCTGTACAATCCCAGTGGTTAACACTGCACTCAGCTTTCCACACAAGCCGGGAGGAGTGCAGAGGGGAGGGAATTCTATTGCTTTCACCATTGGCTCCCCAGATACATAAGACATGTGAGCTCAGGGCGAGCTTCAGAGCTGGTCACTGCCCCAGAGAAGGCAGGGCCATGGCTTCTGTGCTGGAGAAAATAGCAAACCCTTCCTCTCTGCTTTTGTACCTGGCTCCGGGGCTTTGCCTCATCTGCGTGCTGCTGAAAGCGACCCAGCTGTACCACAAGAGACAGCAGCTCCTCAAAGCTTTGGAGAGCTTCCCGGGTCCCCCCAGCCACTGGCTGTACGGCCACATTTCAACAGGGCACAGGTGGGGGAAACTAAATACAGCGCGTGGGGCGGGTGAAGCTGTTAGGAAAAGGTCCTGCCTGCTCAGGTGACCACGCAGGAAGAGTGAAAGCTCGGGCTGTGGTCATGCCATAGAGGCACCTACAGGGCTGCTGACGGCATTGCCATGGCCAAGGTGTGAGAGCCGGCTCTGGGCCCCTGGGAGGGTTCAACAGGGCACAGGTGGGGGAAACTAAATACAGCGCGTGGGGCGGGTGAAGCTGTTAGGAAAAGGTCCTGCCTGCTCAGGTGACCACGCAGGAAGAGTGAAAGCTCGGGCTGTGGTCATGCCATAGAGGCACCTACAGGGCTGCTGACGGCATTGCCATGGCCAAGGTGTGAGAGCCGGCTCTGGGCCCCTGGGAGGGGCAGAGCCTGGGCAGAAGTGGCAGGTCTCGGTGCTGTCCTCCCACAACCAACCTCCCAGCACTGCTCAGCCCATGCGGCCGGGGCTACAGCAGCTATTTAACATGGGCCTTCACCTGCCGCCTCTGCTGCCAGAAGCCCCAGGCCCTCTGCCCCGGGGCAGCTGCCCCTTTTGCCCCCCTCCCATCGACAGGTCTGGGCACCTCTATCAGAGAAAGACCTAAATATCAGGACTGTGCCTCTATAATGGGGACATGTGGGCACCCTACCGATGCCTGTCCTGTCCTCCCCTTTAACGGAGACCACAGCTGAATGTCACCCAGGGCCGGCCCACAACATTTTGGCACCTGAGGCGGGAGCTCAAATGACACCCCCATGTCCCCTCGCTTGGGCCAATCCTGCCTTCTTCCTGTTCTACTCCTCTCCTGGGACTGCTCTGCTACCTACCCCAGGTAAAGGAGAACGAACAACTTCAAATGCCTTGTTCAAAAAGCGTGAACTAGCGGTGCCCCTCCACAGTCTAGAACGAACAACTTCAAATGCCTTGTTCAAAAAGCATGAACTAGTGGTGCCCCTCCACAGTCTGGTGGCTGCCTCAGTTTGCCTCATGGTAAGGCCAGCCATGGTAAGGCATGTTTGTGGGGGGGAAAAGAAAACTACAACCTCAGTAAGAACTGGGTCGTTTCCAGCTCCTGTCCTTTAAGCAAACAGAGAATCCCATTGACTTGACACAGGCTGCTCCCCTGCTTGTAGTTAAACCTGCTTTCCCAGATCAGGTTTTGGCTGATCCAATGGAATAGAAGTCACTTGACACTCGCCTCCACTTAATAGGCATCCTCTGATATTTGAGTTTGTTTTCAGTTCCCAAGCTTTGCTATGTCTGTAAACACAGGGACAGTTTATTTCAAACATCTACAATGTTGCATGCTGCCGGCATTGGGGGATTTCTGCATTTTTGCACCCAGATGCAAAGTTCCCAGCATCCAAATGCAAACAGATTGTCCTCCAATCGATGTTTAAAGTCATGATATTCAGACCGAGGGGCATGAGCTGCAACTCACTCTTTAATGTATCTCCTGCCGGTCTTTGCAGCACATGACAGTAAAATGCTGTGTGATGTAATTATTAACCGCTCTATGCCATTAACTAGTCAGGGTGCTTTTACAGTGTGTTTCATCAGTGGTAGCTGATCAGCTATTTGGTAAGTTATTTGGCTGTGAAAATTTTATATCTTTATCTCTCTTCACTAAATATTCTCTGTCACGCTGTTTAAGTATGAATGAAAGTACTGTAGTAAGTGAAACAAGGAATTCACATACTGTAATTGTGGGTCTTTGGGGTAATGTTAATAGCTTATTAACATCTCCTGAACCTGAGAGTCACTGGTTTAAAATATTGCACCTGATTCTGCATTGCTTTGCTGCATGCAATGTCCTTTACTAGAAACCATCAATATTATTTCATCAACGTGTAATTTTGGCCACAAAAGTGGCTTGTGGACTGAAGGAAACATTTTGCAGAGGAAAATTTCATTTCTGACAGCTTTCCTTTTTTGAATGTAAAGCCAGAAACTGTTTTGTAGAAATGAAGAAAAAAAAAAGCAGCCTAAGAATTCTACCCAAAACCAGCTTTTAAACACCTCCACAGCTATGTCTAGACTGGCATGATTTTCCGGAAATGCTTTTAACGGAAAAGTTTTCCGTTAAAAGCATTTTTGGAAAAGCGCATCTAGATTGGCAGGACGCTTTTCCACAAAAGCACTTTTTGTAGAAAAGCGTCCGTGGCCAATCTAGACGCGCTTTTCCACAAAAAAGCCCCGATCGCCATTTTCGCGATTGGGGCTTTTTTGCAGAAAACAAATCTCTGCTGTCTACACTGGCCCTTTTGCGCAAAAGTTTTTCGGAAAAAGACTTTTGCCAGAACAGGAGCAGCATAGTATTTCCGCAAAAACACTGACAATCTTACATGAGATCATCAGTGCTTTTGTGGAAATTCAAGCGGCTAGTGTAGACAGCTGGCAAGTTTTTCTGGAAAAGCAGCTGCTTTTCCGGAAAAAGTGGCCAGTCTAGACACAGCCCCACCAGTTTTAGGTTTTGGGTTCAATTCTTCCATTAAAAATTGCAAAGCAAAATTTGGACACAATTTATGTTTTTGAAATGTATCTAAAAAATAACACATGGCCCAGGCAGCCCTGTTGTTTCCCTAATGTGAGGGACGAGTTCAGCTTTATCATTGCAATTTGCAAAGGAGACGGGGTTGCAGCACAGAGCTACAGAACTGCATGGCTACTGTGTGTTAGATTTTGGTCCTCTACTTCAGCCAGTTTGGGGGAGATGGAATCTCCCCTCCCTCTCGGGGTGCACAGCCCCCTGTTGCAAGTCCATTCCGCCTGCTCCCCATCTCCTGCAGAGAGAATTCGTGGCCCAGAAGACCTTGCGCAGATTCTCCACCCTGAGGAGAATTTCACTCCTGTCTCCTTAAGTGCTCTCTCTCTCTCTCTCTCTCTTTCTCTCTCTCTGTTTTCTCTATCGTTGCAGCTTTCTCAAGCTGAAGCATTAAAGAATATATCGTCTTGGGCAAAAAAGTACCCCTATGCCTTCCCCATATGGACTGGAGGCTTCAAGGCTGACTTAGTAATCCACCACCCTGATTATGCCAGAGCTGTGTTTGGCCATGGAGGTAAGGTTATTGGCTCTAAAGATTCCTACTTGATGCCCTCCTCAAGAGACTTGTACAGACTCTTCTTCCTGCATGTGTCTTCTGTCGACCATAGCAAGTTCCTTCTTTCACCCTTCCCAAGTGCCTAGCTCTTCACAGTTATGCTGGAGCACTTTCAATATTCACCCACAATGGGAAATGGGAACCCAACACCTGTACCTTCAGAAATGCATCTGGTTTAGGGCTTCTAAGATCTAAGTTGTTCTTAGGATCTTCTAAGATCTAAGTTGCTCTTAGGATGAGCTGGAGAGAAAGGCTGCTAGTTGACGTCCCACACTTTTCTGTTGTTCTCCCTTTCTGGCATGGGAAGTCCTAATAATTACTATTACAGTTACTGCAGTGCCTAAGGATTTGGACAGTCCCAGTCCTGAAGAGACAATTATCTTCAGGATATTTCAGTATGATTCCATGTAGGATAGGAAAACATTTTCAGGGAGGAGGTTCTTGCTGCCCATCCTAAATGTGGTCCCAATGTGGATGAGCCTAATCTCTTGGTGTTGATTCACCACTTGCCTGACTCCAGAAGAGCTCACCTGTCCTGGAAGATCATTAATGTCAATGTCATCACTGGGGTAACTTGGCCCTCACATTAATTCCTTTGAAGATCTAGCCAAAGGCTTTAATCGGGCAATAGCATCTCCACTGACTTCCTTGTTCCTCTAGCACAAAATGTCCTTCCTCATCATTAAAAGCTTCCATGGCCTTCCCTTTCCTCACCCATATCTCTAATGGCATCTTCCCTTCATCCTCCTCAGTCCTGTGTGCATCTTGTTACTTAGATAAATGTGAAAGACCCTCTTTAAAATGCACTAATAATATGAAAAGAAACATTCTTTAAATATTAAATATACTGACACTACAAGATTTATCTGTCTAACTTCTACCCCTCTCATCTTCTAGTTATTTGAACTCCTTCGCCCTGACAAGAAGAGCAAATTCATCTCCAGAAATACATCTGGGCTGTGTCTAGACTGGCAAATTTTTCCGCAAAAGCAGCCACTTTTGCGGAAAAACTTGCCAGCTGTCTACACTGGCCGCTTGAATTTCCGCAAGAGCACTGACTTCCTACTGTCTGAAATCAGTGCTTCTTGCGGAAACACTATGCTGCTCCCATTTGGGCAAAAGTCCTTTTGCGCAAAGCTTTTGCGCAAAAGGGCCAGTGTAGACAGCTCAGATTTGTTTTGCGCAAAAAAGCCCCGACCGCGAAAATGGCGATTGGGGCTTTTTTGTGCAAAAGTGCGTCTAGATTGGCACGGTCGCTTTTCCGCAAAAAGTGCTTTTGCGGAAAAGCATCCGTGACAATCTAGATGCTCTTTTCCACAAATGCTTTTAACAGAAAACTTTTCCGTTAAAAGCATTTGCGGAAAATCATGCCAGTCTAGACCTAGCCCTGGCTTATTGATTCTATGGTGTGTCAACCACTAATACTGTATTTATCTTCTCTATTGTATTTCACAGATCCCAAGAACGTGACTGGTTATAAATTTGTAATTCCCTGGATTGGTACGTAGAATTATGCTTTGTCCACCCTGTTGAATTCTTTCATGAATGAATTGAGGGCATGTCATGCTCTGGAATGTTAGCCTAGTGTTTCTGCTCTTATCCTTGCTTCCTTGCTTGATCAGTTCATGGTGGGCCCCAGACTTCTCTTGTAATTTGATTTAACTTTTTTCCTTGCTATTTGAAAACCAGAGGAGATGACCATTCTGTTCTGGGAAAGGGATTGGGGATGACGTGGGTCTCTGTTACGCCAGACCATTTCTCTGTTTAATCCAGAATCTTGCAACACAATGACTAGTATCTGATATTTCAGATGCCGGTGAATAGCTGCAGCATAACCAATACATAATAATGACTGTGCTGGCCAAATTGTACCCTCAATTAGACATATTCAGGTTCATGGTCTTCAGACTATGCCCTTGATGCCACCATGGCAACCTCTCTGCAGTCTACTGGGCTTGGCCCATCTCACTGAGGATGTTTGAGAAGGAATGAACCCAGCTTGACTCTCAGAAATGAGGTTGAGTTGACAGGACTCTAGAGTTGATCCTAGCAATTACAGATCGGTAAGTCTAACATCAGTACCAGGCAAATTAGTTGAAACTATAGTAAAAAATAAAATTGTCAAACATATAGATGAACATAGTTTGTTGGGGGAAAGTCAATACGGTTTCTGTAAAGGGAAATCATGCCGTACTAATCTGCTAGAGTTCTTTGAGGGGGTCAAGAAACATGTGGACAAGGGGGATCCAGTGGATATAGTATACTTAGATTTCTAGAAAGGCTTTGACAAGGTCCCTCACCAAAGGCTCTTAAGAAAAGTAAGTTGTCATGAGATAAGAGGGAAGATCGTCTCATGGACTGATAACTGGTTAAAAGACAGGAAGCAAAATGTAGAAATAAATGGTCAGTTTTCACAATGGAGAGAGAGGTAACTAGTGGTGTCCCCCAATGGTTCATATTGGAACCAATACTGTTCAACTTATTTATAAATGATCTGGAGAAAGAGGTAAACAGTGAGATGGCAAAATTTGCAGATGATTCTAGACTGCTTGATATAGTTAAGACCAAAGCAGACTGTGAAGAGCTTCAAAAAGATCTCACACAACTAAGTGATTGGGCAACAAAATGGCAAATGAAATGTAATGTTGGTAAATGTAAAGTAATGCACATTGGAAAAAGTAATTGCAACTATACATACAATATGAGGGGACTAATTTAGCTACAACTACTCAAGAGAGAGATCTTGGAGTCATTGGGTGTGTCTAGACTACAGGGTTTTGTTGACAAAAGTCCACTTTTGTCAACAAAACTATACCTGCTTCTACACTGCCACTGAGTTGTGTTGACATAACATTGACAGAACTCAGCAGTTCTTGCTTTGTCGACAAAACCGGATGTAGTCTAGATGCTCTTTGTCTACAGAAGCTTTGTCGACAGTATCTGTCGACAAAACTTCTGTCGACAAAACCCTGTAGTCTAGACGTAACCATTGTGGATAGTTCTCTGAAACATCCATTCAGTTTGCAGTGGCAGTCACAAAATCAAACAGAATGTTGGGAATCATTTAAAAAGGGATACAAAATAAAACAGAGAATATCTTATTGCCTCTGCATAAATCCATGGTACGCCCATATCTTGCATACTGTATACAGATGAGGTCTCCTCATCTCAAAAAAGATTTCTTGGCATTGGAAAAAGTTCAGAAAAGGGCAACAAAAATGATGAGGGGTTTGGAACAGGTCCCATATGAAGAGAGATTAAAAAGACTTGACTTTTTAGCTTAGAAAAGAGGAGACTAAGGGAGGATATTACAGAGGTATATAAAATCATGAGTGGTGTGGAAAAAGTGAATAAGGAAAAATTATGTACTTGTTCCCATAACTAAGGTCACCAAATGAAATTAATAGGTAGCAAGTTAAAAAAAAAGGAAGTTTTTCTTCACACAGTGCATGGTTGTGCTGTGGAACTCCTTGCCAGAGGATGTTGTGAAGACCAGGACTTTAACAGGGTTTAAGAAAGAGCTAGATAAATTCATGGAGGTTAGATCTATCAATGGCTATTAGCCAGGATAGGTAGTAATGATGTCCCTAGCATCTGTCAGAGGCTGGGAATGGGTGACGGGAGAGGGTTTGCGTGATGATTCCCTGTTCTGTTCACTCCCTTTGGGGCATCTGGTACTGGCCACTGTCAGCAGTCAGGCTCCTGGGCTAGATGGACCTTTGGTCTGACTCAGTATGGCCATTCTTATGTTCTTATCTTCTTATGAGTAGAACTCCACACTATGCATCAGAACAATGTTCGCCTTAGTGTTATTCCTCCCAACTGCTGATGTCTATTGCACCTTGTTGCTCCATAGCACAAGGCACCAACATAAATACTGGTGTCATCAGTAAACCTGCTTGCAAAATTATTCTCTCCCATGCAAGACATTTCTGCTTGGAGTAAAAAAATGGAAGAAATGCAGAAACCCTATGTTGGGTTTGCAAACAAAAGAAAAATGGCCACCATCACACAAAACCCACCAAGCATTCATTGGAAAACCAAAGTTTTCCCTGTTCCAAAATAAAAGTGATAATAATTATTCACAGAACTGTAAAGTGATCCATCTCTCTGCTTTTCTATCCATGCAGGCAAGGGATTACTGATCTTACATGGGCCAAAGTGGTTCCAGCATAGAAGGCTGCTGACCCCAGCGTTTCATTATGACGTGTTGAAACCTTATGTCGCGCTTATGGCAGAATCTACCAAAGTGATGCTGGTAGGACTCATCCCCATGTCTGTGCTTTCAGCTGCTGGGCTGGGGAAATCACTGGGTCCGATGCAAGTAGAAGACAGTGGAGGGAGATGTTCCAAACCGCTTGATTCACACAATTGCTCTGCAACTTTTTAGTAAAGGGGCCGGATTCAGAGCTGGTGTAATTGAATGGAGCTACGGCAACGTACATCAGCTTAGATCTGACCCAAGATATTTTTCTGTCACCTGGTTTCCAGTACAGTGAACTGTATGACAGTAACTTTCTTCAGCCTGCCGATGGTGACCATTGAAGGGAATTGGGGAGAATAGGTTGTTTGTGAGAGAAGAAACTAGACTAGTGTAAAGTAGAGGGAGAGAGTCAGAAACAAGCAGAGAGACAGAGAAGAGAAGATGAAGAGGAGGGCAAAGAGGAATCCAGTGAAGTACATATATAATTATACACTATCCATACGGTATCCATTTCAACTAGACCAGCTTGTTGGAAGGGTCCTTTTATTGTACAATACTCTCTTTGTCCTGAAACTGTGAATTCATGAGGATTGAATGTCCCTAATAATAATTATAATCTGAGGCAAATTTATCTCTGAGGTAACTTCACTGAAAATATCTTGGCCCAAAATAGCTCCAGCTTTTCAACTACCACCTGAGCTATGCTCTGAACACTGAATAATAACCGTGATGTCTCGCCTTTCAATGAGATTTTTGCTTAACTTAGGCTATGTCTACAGTGCACAGTTATTTCAGAAGAAGCTATTCCGGAACAGTTACTCCAAAATAGCTTATTTCAAAATAGCACATCTATACTGCAGGGAAGCCTCAAAATTAGTCCGAAGCAGGCTTGCCTAATGTGGGTGTGCTCCAGCAATGGCCCTGGTGGGGGGCTATTTTGAAATAGCAGAAGTGGAGCATCTAAACACACCGTATTTTGAAATAGCTATTTCAGAATAGACGTTATTCTTCACAGAATGAGGTTTACAGAAGTCGGAATAAACTGGCCGTTATTCCAAAATAACTTTGCTGTGTAGACACACCCTTACCTTAGTTGGTTTTCAGTGCTGGCAAATGAGTCTGTTTGCTAGAGACAGTCACTCAGGATATGCCTACACAGCAAAGTTATCATATATATAGTAGCAGTGTCTGTGAGTCTGTAACGCCGAAATGCTGGCTGTTCCCTCTGGGTGGCGCTGTTGCCTGAAATGCTGGCTTTCTAGAGTCTACATAAGCCAATTGCTATTTTGAAATTAATTCGAAATAACGGAGGAATAATGAGAAATAATGCCAATTTCAAAATTGCTATTTCAAAATAAGTGCTAGGTAGATGCTTATTTCTAAACTAGACAATTACCCCGTCATAAGACGGAGATTTTCAGGTCTCTCCTCCATGTCGGTCTTCTCTCCTGAGCCTCCGGTCTCTTGCTCCATCTCTCTCTCTCTCTCCTCCTCCTCCTACTGCCTCCCCCTCTCTCTAAGCTCTTCTCTGTCTTCTGCCTCTCTCTCCATCACTCTCTTTCTCTTCTCCCCCTCCTGCCTCTCACTCTCTCTCCGCTCTCTTCTGTCTCCATCAGGGATACACGCTCGTCCAGGCCCCGCCCCCTGGGCGTGTACGTCACTGCCTGCCCCACTTCTCCTCCCACCATGGCGCTCAGCTGACTTCTGCACCACTCAGCTGGGCCGCCGCACAGGAGCAAGCAGCACAAACGGCCTCTTTCTCTCTTCTCTTCCTACTGCCTCACCCTCTCTCTCTCTCAGCTCTCATCCGCCTCCTGCCTCTCTCTCCCTCTTCTCCCCCTCCCCCCTCTCCTCTGCCTCCTCCATTCTCCTCTCTGTCTCCTCTGCGTCCTCTGTGTCTGCTCTGCTTTCCTCCTTTTGAATCCAGTGCCCTTTCCTGATGTCAGAGATGCACACTTATCCAGGCCCCGCCCCCTGGCTGTTCCCTCTGGGTGGCGCTGTTGCCTCCTGCCGTGGCGCTCGGCTGATTTCTGTGCCGCTCAGCTGGGACACCGCGCGGGAGCAAGCGGCGCAAGTGGCCATTTAGGCCCTGCGCTCCCCATGCAGCACCTCCATGCTGCATGGGGAGTGCAGACCCCAAACAGCCACTTGCGCCGCTTGCTCCTATCCGG